CTGGTCTAAATAATCTTATTTTACCATTCTTATCTTTATAAGCCTTTAATCCCTCGAAACATTCAAACGAATAATGGAAAACCATGGCACTAGGTTCAAGACATATTTTATCATAAGGTTTAATTATTGGATCATGCCATCCATTTTCCTTATACCATTCAATATTTAGCATATGATCTGTAAAAATACGTCCAAACACCAAATCTTTGTTGGGAACAATTGGTTTTAAACGTTCCGAGCGATGGATTTTTATTCGGTTGTGCTACATATATTTAGTATAATATAGTGAATTATGAATCATTTGAACTTATTTTTTTTTTAATTTTAGTTTTTTTAAGTTTGAATATTTTTATTTTTATAATAATATCAATAATAATTATAATAATAATAATATAATTATGATTTAAAAAAAAAGGCATGATAAAAAGGAAAAAGAAAGAATGAAGAAAAAAAAAAAAGAACAGATATATTTTTAAAAAATTATTCACGGATAAACCTATAATCACATTCACCTTCCTACGAGTTGTTGTACGGACCAATCATTCTTATAAAGTCGCGTAGAGGGTAACTAGGACTTACATCAATGTCAGTTCTATTATTATTATCAGCAGCTACTGTACTTTGAAAGTGAACTTGTAATAATGCAGTTAACGCAGGAGACCATTTAACTCTTGTTGTTCGAGGACGAAAAGAACAAAGTAGTCGTTTCGAAACGAAATGAAGCATTTTTCACATAAAATTTTTAATTAATTGAAAGAATTAATGAAAAATATTTTATAAATGAATATGAAGTTTAAATGAAGAGAATGTTTAACGTTATAGAGTATATTTTTTTTGGTAAGTAAACGGGACAAAAATAATTTGTTTCTTTGCATTTTAGTCTTACGACATTATTATTTGTTACACAATAATAATCAATTTTTTTGCTTCATTTGGTTTTGTTTATTCTCTTTAATTTAATTTTTCAGCATTTTCAATTTTCTTCTACAATTCATCAAAAAATAATTTTTTGGATTACATATCAACATCAAAAATATTTCTCTTTCCATGATTTCAATTTTTTTTTTTCTAATCTAAAATCTGATGGATTATGTACATATGTATGTATAAAACTATA